ATGTTTTAACGTACATTCCCCTCGGTTAATGGACGTGTTCACTGAGGGATGGACCGGGGTCCAGCGGTGGAGCTCAGGCCGGTCAGGGCTCCTCTCAGCCCCCCCATGTGCTTCAGAGTTAACCCGGACTGATGGGACCTGTTAGCAGTTAGCTGTCCGAGCTCATCCGATCGAGCGATGACACCGGACCCGGGGCCCGAGAGAGATCAGCTCGTTTCCGTGAGTTTCCCAGATTAATTTAGTCAACACCAACTTCTCCGGCCTAGCGTTAGCGACCGGGAGAGGAGACACTTCCCCCGGCTAACGTTGTAGGCATGGCGGCTAGCCGTGCTTCAGACTAGCCGGTAGAGTTAGAAGCTAGCACCGGAGGCCCCGTGCCGTTAATGCGGGAGGACACCGGGGGATCTCACCACCGTTCACCCCCGAAGAGGCGACCACTCACCCTCTGTCACTTCCAGCACTTTGACCTGCTCCTCCGCGGCGGCGCGCACCTCCTGCACCGGGGACAGGATGGCGGTCAGCGTCTCGATCAGCGCCTCCTTCAGCCCCTGCTGGACCGGACCGGCCGCCGGACCAGACCGAGCACTACCCGCCGCACTCATGTTTTCACCCGCAGCTCCACAACCGTGTCAGTCCGCCGCCACCACCACCACCAGGAGCCGGGGAGGAGAAGCAGCCGAGAGCAGAGGGGAATCGCGCCAATGCATGGGAACGTGGAGGCGGGGTTTTGCTGGAGGAAGCACATTTTGTCGTCCGGTTCGGCCCACGTGTTGTTTTTTTCTGTTTGTCTTTGTTTTTAAAGTCTTGCTCCCTCTTGTGGAGCGGGGGGGCATCTTTAGTCTGAAGGATTTCCTTCTCACTTGAGTTTTATGTACTTTTTAAAAATGACAGAACTTTAAAATGACTATATGAATATATGTGTGTGTGTGTTTTCTATAGCTCTGCATCATGTGTTGACACTTTAACTTTCCGTGGTGAATTACAGATGAACTGAAAATTGCACGATCCCTCCCCTGGTGCTTATAGTATATTTTATACCTAATTTCTGTTTTTATCTTTTTATATTTATACTTACATGAATACATCACAGCAAACGCCCTGTATGTGTAAACCTGTTTGGCAATAAAACCAGATTACCTAGTGACTAATGTCTATTAAAATTCAAATGCTTATCCTCATTATTAGCTTCCATACCTAATAGTAAGTATAGTATGGTTGTGGATGACATTACCACACAGGATATCCTGCATGCACCAACTTGTGGATGAAACCTTCAAAAGCTGGAAGAGACACACTATTTGGAATGTGAGTGAACAGTTTGTAAAAGAGCTTTGAATAAATATAAAGTTAAGAAATAAAGCTGTATTATACGTTATGGCCAAAAAGAACATTTACGTTGAAATAAATCTTAACATCACCACATAAAACATGTTCTTCTAACTTAGTAGTGACAGTTTGGGGAAAAGACAGACAGCACCTTTGTTTGGGAGTGGGATCTTATGACACAACATCAGTGTCCGACTTGGACTTTTTTGGCTGAAGAGGAGAAGTCCAGTAGCTTATTTCCAAAATGTTCTGCAAGGCCTTCCCTGCAGTATTGAGGCTGTTCTAGCTGCATATTCATGTCCATGTTTAAGGATTTAAATGTTTGACAATCACATATAGTTTCATTATCCGGGTGTCGCTGTATGGTTGCCCATGTTGTGAATTTAGTTGGAAGTTACAATCAGGTCACACCTCTCTGACAACAGGTGTTCCCACTCGAGCTTTCAGAGGAGCTTCCCCTTTATCACTCACTTCTCCATTCTTTGCATATTAGAACAACATGAAACAACTGTGCAGTGACACAGCAGCGCGATTCTTTGTTGAGGTGTGACTGTGTCACTCTGCAATCACTGTGACTCTGGAAGTGTTCATTCGATCACATTGGTGAAGGAGGAATTATCAGCTTCAGCTCATAAACCTGCTGCTCCAATGAGAAAATAGAAGTGGTATCAGTATGTGACGTGCTGTTATAACTCTACTCTGAAATCTCAGTTTGGGGACTTCTTTAATTTGTTTTAATCGTGCAAGGACAAGCTCCGATCCTCTCAGGTGTCACGTTTCCTGATCCAGGACGCTTTTATCAAATCCTGCCAGAGTTTGGAAGTGTTTTGGAGCAGTCATTACATCCAGTTACTGTGGAATATTGGTCTACAACCTCATCTGTGGAAAGTCAAGTTAAAACTGCAAAGGCTGAAAACTACCATTACTTTCTTAATTCTTTGGTTGCGTACCCTTCTCATGAGTGTTGTATTTAGTATATAATGATCCACGATGTTCATGTCAGTTCTGTCTGTCAGACCAAATGGAATAAAAACTTTTGAGAGTTCAATCCAACTCCGGGAGAAATAAAGCTGTGGAATGTATTCATGACTGAAACCATATTTGCATCTTTATAAACCTTCATGAGTGAACTGGTGTGTTTAGGAAACACGGCTCTGTGACAGTTGCGTGCTTCGCCGCTGTGTGCAGTTAACACTCTGTTGTCAGATTATTAGGTACAACTACCGAAAACTAATGCAGTCTAATGCAACCATGCTTTTCTGTTTAAGAGAGAAATCAAATTGAACCTGACGGATTTTGGAGGCAGCAGTTTGTTGTTAGTAAACTCAAGAAAACTCAATAACATCATTGTACTTTAAAACATCTGAAATGATATTTTTTTCTTCTTCTTTTACCTTATTCACCGTAAAGCACTTTGTAATATCTAGTTTTGAAAAGTGCTAAAACCTAAAAGATGAAAACAATATACCAACATAAAAATACCGTCAATCAGTATTATTGATATTGATATCAGTATATATCAATAATTCTTATGATTGATGTCAACTTATTCAAGGTGGACACTCGAGAAACAGTACTCTAGGAATCCTGGGTAGAATATTTAAAGTGATTATGTTTTTACTTCCTCACATAGACAACATATAGATGTAAAATGCACATTTGTGATATTACCACTGATGAAAATGATATTGCCATGATTATTGATACTGTTTTATCGCCCAGACTTATTCTAACCTACATGTAATTAAACATTATTATCATTATCTTGCTTAACTGAGAGGTGTTTGCCCTCATCATGAAGAAGGTCAGATTAATTGCAGGACTGTAGCATTAGACTGCATCAGTTTCCGCTGGGTGTTCCTAATAAACTGGCAACTGAAGTGTATGTGATGCGTTTCAGGATAGGATCTCGTGAATTGAGACTAGGAATGAACCAAACACTTAATACAACCTTTTCTTCTTGTTTAAGCAAAAAGAATTTGGTTTATGTAGAAACAAGCAATGCTTTGCAATTGGATATTTCCCTCTCCTTCAAAAGAGTTAAAGCTAAAATTAAAAAAAAAAGAAATTAATCCCCATCCCACTGCACCCAGAATCGCCACCTTCTGAAAATGTATGCAGATGTTACTGACAGAAAGCAAAGGAAAGCTGGGGGACAGCTCACAAGGGAGATAGATATAAGTGTACAGTACATATATATAAAATATAAAATCTCAAATATATTTTATATATATTAAATTGTGTTAGGGTTCAGTATCTTTCACTACACAGCATTAAGGTGGTGTGTCTGATTATCTTTTTTTTTCTTCATTTTTTTTTCTTCAAATCCTATTATATGAACCAAAGGAGAGTCAAAGCAAAACAAATGAATCAACAAACAAACAAATGTGGGGGGGGGGGGAGAAATAAGGAAACTAAGCAACAGACAAAAGGCCTCCGCCCCAATCCGATGCCCCTCCCCCCAGCCCCCAGCGGAGGGGTGAGCTAGCACGGACGAGGTGGGACAGACCCGTCCAGCTGTACAGCGCAGTGAAACATAACTTACATATTAGCTCATTTTTACATGTACAGTCGTGATCAAGGCACAGGGATCTTCTACAAGTTAATTTTTTTTTCTTCAATAAAGTTGTACAAAATAATACATTTTACAGTCTGTACAAGAATAATAGTCCAGCAGTAAAATAAAGACAGACGTACTTAAAGCCGGG